TGCAAAAAACGCATAAAAAAGGTAGCATAAATTGCCCAAATAATGCAAATAACCAACTAAAAAAAAACCCAGGCTGGATTGCACCAGGCGGGCCGGTGTGATCATGCGTTTTTGCACTATTTCATGCTGTAGCAAGATCGCAAAAAAGGATGGATGGATTGATTTTTCCAGTGATGAAGTCAGACTCTTGATCTTGAGAATAGCTAAAACTTTATTTGCCACTACATCATGATCGCCAAACTATTCAAACAAAAAAGGAAAAAGTGGAAAAAAGGGGCATTTATTAGATCTCAAAAAATAAATTACCGCCTGGACGTTTTTCGCAACTGCAGCTTTGTAGTGTTCTACTGGTACAGTATTTTGCCCCACCGGCGTATTTTGTCCTTTCACAGTACCACTTTCTACTACTGTATTCTGCCCGGTCACTATATCGTGCTGCATCACTTTCTCACATTTCGCCATCATACCCTGTTCTGCAGTTGCACTCAATTCCATCACTGCATTGCACCCTGCTACCGTATCGTTTTCAACCACCGTAGTATTTGCTTCTGCTGCCATATCACGCCCGATCACAGCTTGCTGTCCAGCCGCTTTGCCGTGTTCTGTTACCGTGTTACGTCCGTTTACGGCAGCACTTATCGTATCAGTTCCATTCGTCACGTTGTGTCCGACTACCTCGTCATACTGTACCATCACATGAGCTGAAGCGTCTGCACCATGTTTCGTCACCGTATTTTGTTGCGTTACCGGATCACTTCCAGTGACTGCTTCGAATTCGATCCGCATGTTGTGCGATTTAATCCCGTACTTGGTTGCTTGATTCGTACTGCAAATATATTTTGAAATAATGAAGCGAAGGCAGCCCCGAAGGAAACACATCAGCAACGAGAAAACTTTTACCAACCACTTCATCTGATAGGGTCCCTAGAGGAAAAGCTACATTCTCGAGTTAGACGAAACTTTGTAACCAAAATTTATTAAAAATAGACAGGAAGAAAAAGGAAGGGAAGAAAAGAGATAGCAAAAATTTACACTTTTTATGCGTTTTTTGCAGCTATGCAATGCAGAAAACACATACTGACGAGAGCTTGTCTGTGTGTATGTCTGTGTGTCCGTGTGTGCGTCTGTCATGGTTCTTCATCTCAAGACCTACAAAAGCCACAGGGCTGAAACTTTGGGAACTTAATCTACATGGACGAACGAGCCCCAATCCCCAAAATGAACGCTCTTACCCGCGTGGTACCCACGTATAGGCCCCTGAAAGTTTTTGCTAGTAACTCGCCAACTCGAGAACCAGAAGGGCTAGAAAATTAAAATTTTAAGGGGATGTTCCCCGTCCACGTAAGTCTCAGTGGACTCAAACCCAGACTCCGAGTATGCGTGGTAGCCACGCAGGTGGCGCCAAAATTTTTCTCGGGTAAGTTGCTAACTCGAGAACCTGAAAAGCAAAAAGACCGGAATTTTGAAGGGATGTTTTCCTGACAGTCCTGGCGGCCAGTATGGAATTCTTTTAACTGGAAGCATCTGTCGGAAAAAACAGTGCCATTAGCGACAAACATCTGCGGGGAACTATGCAAAAAACGCATCTTCGCACTGGCAGCCCGTGCGCTGGTCAATTATTGTGTGTTTATTCTGCACAATATTCGGACGATATCTTTACGTCATCTACCGCATTGCTCCGGCTTATTATCTACCTATTCCTAGTTCCAATTAATGTTAAGGCCTTCCAAAGTACCTTATCCTCACGTCTTATCACTAGTACAACTGCCGTGTGCTGTTTATCACCACTGAAATCATCAGGAATTGCTCTTGCGGCTGTATTTGTTCGCAAATTCTTGCCATTTCTAAGTGTTTGTTAACCAGCAGTCGTTATGAGTACTTTCTAGCTTTAAACCACCCAGCTATTCCATCTATAGCACAAATGTGCGATACAGGCTCTAAAGGTGGCGTCCAGGGAAACTTAAATATTTGGCGAAACATGCCCCCCTCCCTCCCACCACCCTTCCCCCAGGAATCAGTT